AGTATTTTCCTTCACGGTGGAAAGGGATATTTAATGAAATAGAAGACTTTCAAGCATTTCTTATGAAAAAAACCAGAGCTGAATAGAAAATCTGACATTCCAACACAAGACTCAAGAGGAACATAAAAAGGCAAACATGAAAGAGTAATCATAAGAGACTCAATAAAATGAAATTATTTACAATCCTATATGGAAGATGATGTGTCTAACTCCTAAGAATTTTATCATTATTGGATCAATTACAAAAAGTCTACATAGCCAGAAGACATCAGTATGAATCTATTATTCAAAAAAAGAAAATGAAGACATGTGAAAGGCTTGGTTACTCTGATCAATGTAATGATCCAAGACAATTCCAAATGACTCATGATGAAAAAAATGCGGTCTCCAGACAGAGAACTAATCAACTCTGAGTGTAATTTGTAGTATAATTTTCTCTCTCTTTTTTGTTTTTGCTTTTTTTTTGGTGATATGGCTAATATGGAAATATTTTGTATGATTTCACATGTAGAAATTAATTTATATCATTTTGTTTGTCTTCTCAATGGGTGAGGAAGGGAGGAGGAAGGGAGAGAATTTGGAACTCAAAACTTTATTTTATTTTATTTTATCTTTGGAACTCAAAATTTTAAAAAGAAAAGAATGCCCAAAAAAATACATTAAAAAAAAGAATGAGAAAGGAGAAAAAAAAAGAAAGAAGGAAGGAAGGCCCCTGGCAACTGTGTAGAAGTGAATCAACCTAAAATTAAATGTCTCCAGGGGTAGCCCAGCCCCTATATAGGGCAAGCTAGATTTCTACACCTAACTGAGTATATTATTTCCTCCTTGAGCCAAATCTATTGAGATAATCAAACCAATCAAACAATGCTCATCTCCCTCCCTTCTTTCCCTCTACTGTAATAGGTTTCTGTGCCTTTTCCTGTAATGTAATTTACCCTTGTCTGCCTCCTCTTCTCTTCTCCCAGTACAATCCCTTAATTAGATTCAATTAATCCACGTACTTAGATCCATTTAACCCACTTAGATTTTTTTTATCGTTACATCAAAGTCAACTTATACCCACTCACTTTATCTATGTATACCCCTTTAAAATGGTGTAATAACAATACAATTCTCAAGAGTTACAAGTGTCATCTTCCCTTGTAGGGATATAAACACTTTGCTTTTATTAATAACATGTTTTTTTTTCTGTCCTGTTTACCTTTTTATGTCTTGATCAAATTTTCTGTTGAGCTCTGGTCTTTTTATCAGAAAGGTTTGGAAGTCCCTTATTTGGTTGAATGTCCACCTCCTTCCCTGAAATATTATGCTCATTTTCACTGGGTAGTTGATGTTTGGTTGTAAATCAAGCTCCCTTGCTTTACGGAATATTGTATTCCGTGCTCTACAGTCTTTTAATGTAGAAGCTACAAGGTCCTGTGTAATCCTGACTGTGGTTCCATGATATTTAAATTGTTTCTTTCTGGCTGTTTGCAGTATTTTGTCTTTGACCTGGTAATTTTGGAATTCGGCTACTATATTCCTTGGCATTTTCAATTTGGGATCTTATTTAAAGAGGTGGAGTCTTTCTATGGCTTCCATATCATTCTCAGCTCTGAGTTTCTAAGTTCTAAATCAATAAGCTCAGATAGTCTATGTTTTAATATACTTTCTAGCTATAACATGCTACATTTCCTAATCAAAGTCGTCTCCCAGCTATGACACATTCCACTCAGCTTCCAAAGTGATGTTTCTGTCACTCCCCTGTGACATGTTGAGTTGCAGGAGCTCCCTATTTCCTCCAGGGTTAAAAAACAAAACAAACAAAAACCAAAACAAAATGCTCTGCTTGGCATTTAAAGCTTTCTTCATAACCTGGCTACCCTTCTTCCCTTTCCAGTCTGATCACACTTGACTCTACTCCATGCACTCTCTGTACATAGAAAATATGGCAATAAATGTCAGCTGGGAGGGTCTTTGGAACTCATATAGTCTAACCCCATCACTCAACAGGGGAGAAAATTATATTGCCGTCTTATTATTCCTTGACTACCACACTCATCTCTAGACTCCATGCCTTTGCCCTGGCTGCCCCCTATGCCTGGAATACTCTCTCTTCTCACCTCTATCTCTTAGCTTCCTTCAAGACCCAGAAGGTCTTTTCCAGGCATGCTCTCCCCTCTCTCCTCCCCTTATGGAATCATTAGCCTGAACCTAGTGACCATCAGGCACTTGGGAACACATGTGTAGTAGCCATAACCTCAGGGTTGAGCCCAGCCTGGGGAAATGAAAATTCCCTTTCACTCACACAAGGTGGTGTTCTCTTTCTAGATGGAATCTCCCTTTTCTTGGAACACCTCATCAAGGCCAAACCCCTGTTCTCTACCTCACCTTCTTCTTCAGGTGGCCCCTTTTGTTTACATCCTTCCCCCACACCCTTCCCTCTAAGATTACTTTCTATTGAGAGACATTATTGTTTCTCTCTTGTATTTATTTAATGTCTAGTTATTGTATTAGGACCAAGGTTTTCCCCCTTTTCTACTTCCCCATTCGGAAAGTACCCCTTGTAGCTTACTCAGATCTACTCAAAAGATAAAGTTAAGTGAATTTATGGATTCCAGACCTTTGTGTTTTGCTCAGACTGGCCTGGATAAATGTGGATTCTGATTCTCCCTTTTGTCAGACCAGTGATACAGATACAGATAATTCTCTTTGACAAAAACTGAGTGGCCAAAGTTACATATCCCAGACCCTCATTAGAATAGGTCTGCCTCTCATTATAATATTCATTCTCTCCTTGTTAAGCAATCAGAATTGATTTCAGCCCTCAGGAACACCCACTCTTCCAAGGGCATATAAAAAGGTTGAGTGGGTTTCGTGATTTGTCTTTAGTCTAAGAGAGATGGCCAAATGAACATGTATGTTAGCATTATTAATAAAATGATTAATTATCCAGAAACTATGTCTCTGTCGAACTTTCTATATGTCACGCTGTCTACTCTGTGTATATCTTCTTTGTCTATCATAGTTTGCATGTTATCTTCTCCAACAGAATGTATGCTCCTTGAGGGCCAGCTGGACCACATTTTTGCCTCTTTGGTATGGCCAGGGCTTAGCACTGTGCCCGGAATATAGTAAATGATTAATAAATGCTTATTGGCTGATTGATGGTGATTCTGTCTATCCTGATTCCAAGATGTCATTATTTTCTGATTCTCAGGTCTTGTGAATCTTTAGCGTTGCATCTTATCATTGAGACCTCAAAGAGCTGAGCTGCTCAACTCTGCCCCTTCCCCAAACCTCACTCTCTTCCCTGAAGCCCAGGCCACAGAGGTAGCTGGCTGTAGGCTTCCCAACTCTGGGAGAAAATGTTGAAAATTAGGGTGGGGGAGAGTAGAGGGAGAATCCAAGCCCTCAGGGCCAGGGAGTCAGTATTAATTTGGCTTCTGCCTGACTGGGAGAGTGTTCTGCGGGTGAAGTTGACACTGAGAGGCAACCGCATCAGGACTGGATCCCGAAGAACTGTGGAGCCAGACCTGAGCCCCTGGACAACCAGAGAGGGGGCAAACTCAGGCCTCAACTCAAGAAAGCAGGTATGACTCAGGCTCTGGATTAGTTTACTTTGTTCGTTTTCTTTTATCAGAACTGTCTTGACCAAACATTAAATACGGGGGAAGTGGTTCTTTCAGGACTGCAAAAGAGAGAGGGACCTATTGAGTTGAGAGAGCCCTCGGTCTGAGGGCTAGACAAGCCCACCCAGCCTTCAGGGACCACTCTGTTCCCCCAAAGCAGGGAAAGGGAGCAGTTCCTAAGTCAAAGGCCTACCCCTGACTCCATAGGTGGTCGGAGTGACCCTGGGGCTAAGCCCAGCCTAGGGAAACGGAAACTCCCTTTCTTTCCCCAGGCTGGTGTCCTATTCCCAGACAGAATCTCCTTTTCCCTAGGAACACAATTTCGTGACCAACCATATCCTTGCTCCCTACCCCTATGAATCCACCTTCCAGTTCCAGTTGCCCCATTTGTTTACAATTTCATCCCCTTCAGCAATCACACAGGTTTACCTGCCCATGCTTTCCCACCCAGCCTAACTGGTCATTATCCTAAACTATGGGGACTTTTCCAAGGCTGGGTCCTCTCTCTGCCTCTGCACCTCCCAGGTCCCAGCTTCTCTGGGAAGCCCTCTCTGACCACCTTGGCCCAAAGTAAACTGTACTCCCTTCTAGGGTGACATTTATCAAAGTAGTGAGATGGTGCAGAGATGACAAGGGGGAGCGCCAATGAGCTCGACAAAGTAGTGCCAAGGGGCAAAGCCCTGTTTTGGGTAATAAGAGCACTTTAGAGCTAGAAGGAGCACCTGGCATCAGGAAGACCCGAGTTCAAATGTTGCCTCCCACACTTGCTAGCTATGTGACCCTGGGTGAGTTCCTTAACCCTGTTTGCCTCAGTTCCTCATCTGTAAAATGAGGTGGAGAAGGAAATGGCAAACCACTCCAGTATCTTTCCCCAGAAAACCCCCAATGGGGTCATGAAGAGTAGGACACAACAGAAACTAGTGAATAACAACGGAGAGCCGGAAGGAACCTTGGAAGACCACTGAATACAATCCGGAGTATACAATCCCCCAGAGAAGGGGTTTGCAGTGGCGAGGCTAAGGCTCAAACCCAGCTTTCCCTTTGGCAGAGAATCGAAGCGGAGGGTTCCCCTGTCACCCACTCTCCCTCCCTCGCCTCCCCTCCTCCAAGGACGGCTTCCCCTTCCAATTCCGCAGCCCGCACCCCGCTCTGGTCACCGCATGGTGGAAGGGGAGGGAAGTGCTGCATTTCTCGAGGTGGCCCAGGAGATGGCGCAGCAGAGTAACATGCCCAGTACCCTACTTCTGGGCTTAGAGTAGCCTGCAGAGGGTAGTGGGGGGAATCTTTGTGATGTCACAGACTAGACTGGAGGGGCGGGGAGGAGAGGGGGAGAGGGTAAGCCGGCACTTGTGACGTAGCCTGGAGGCGGGGTTCCAGGGCCGAATTGTTACTTTGTGCGCCGCGAGCGATTCATTCAAGAGGAGTACACTGAGCCGGCGGGCGTAGGAGCCCCCGGCGCGGAGCGGAGAAGGGGGGGCTCTGGTCGGCAGATGCGCCCTGGCTCCGAGGACGGGTGGAGGGAGCCGGAGCCTTGCTCCGCAGCCCGGGCGGCCAGGTAAGGAGCGAGCCCTCCGTCCTAGCTGGGGCTGCTGCGGCCACTGACCTTCAGCGCGTCGCGGCGGTAGCAGGCGCATCCTGCTCTGCCCCCGCGGGGAGCCGGACTGTGGGGCCAGCGCCAGAATCTGGCTTCGGCCTCGCCTAAGGGGCGCCTGGCCTTGGCTTTCCGTTCGGGGCCGGGAGACCATCGGTGTGTGTCCCACTCTGCGTCTGAATCTGGGGAGGGGTTGGCGCACTCCGAGGGCCGGAGGGGAGACAATGCAGGATGCCATTACCAGCGTGTGAGAGCCCTTTCTTCTGGCATCTGTCCGGGCTCTGGGACCTGTGGCATAACCCCCTTCTAGCTGGATATCTGATGCCCCCCAATCTCTTCTCAACCTTTGGGCCACCGGCCACCCTCTTCTCTATCCTGGACAACTAAATTCCCCCAGTTCCCTGTCTCCAGGGAGCTGGGATCGTCGCCAAACTCTGTCTTTCTAGCTTCGAGGCTTCTGTTTCTCCTGGACTTCGATTTCCCCAGCCCCTTACACCCTCATTTTCACTGACTTACACACACACGTGTGCGCACACACACACACACACACACACACACACACACACCCCAATCCATCAATCTCTGGTCCCATATCTCCAGGACCTTCACCTCTTTCTGGATCCTCCTCTCCCCCGGACTTCTGATTCCACAGAACCCCTTATCTGTGTCCTTACACAGGACCCCCTCCCCAAGATTCCATGTCTTCTCATTCTTTTCGGTCTGTGGGCCTGCCGCCCATTCTTTCTCTAAGGAAGAAAATTTGACTTGCAAGGCACTTCACTTTATCCCCTTCCCCACTCTCCAGACCCCAACTCTGAACTCTTGGGTTCAGGCCCTCAGACTCCTGACCACCTGTCTCTGTGACCCTGGCTCTCTGCCTCTACTTGCTTTGACCTCAAATTTCTTTCTCTCAGATTTTCCTTAACTCAGATATTCTGCCTCTGGAACAACCCAGTTCCCATCCCCACTCCCTCCGCAGACCCCTTGCTCCCTCAGATTCTTAGCTGATTTAAACTCCCCCCCCACCCATGCCCCTGTTCTCCTAGCCCATTGATTCTGTGCCCTCTAGCTCCCTAGGGGAAGGAGGAAGGATTTGGGGCCGAGGTTTGGGAGGGGAAAAGCTGACTGTACCCACCAAAACTTGCTGTTTCATGAATCACATTAGGAGGTTGGGGGTGGGGAGTGTGTGGAGGGAGAGAGGAATTGTCATGTTTAAATTGTTGGGCAGAGAATGCTTGTACTCAGGAGCCTGCAGGGCCCAAGCCACTGCCTGCATCTTCCATCTAAGGATACCAGGCACAGGGAGGTCTGAGGGCCACAGATCAGAGTTCTTTCAGTGCTGGAGTAGGGGGACTGTCCTAGAACACCCTTCCTTACTAAGCAGGCTGGGATCCCAAGGGGTGGCTGGCCTTATTGGAATCTACCCTCAATGAGGGCAAGGCTCTAGTTAGGTGCCCAGGATCAGGAAGCCAAGCCTGACCATGTGGGAAGGGAAAGAGAAAAGGATGTCAGCTGCCTGGGCTTCCCTCCTCCCCAGGAAACTTAAGCCTAGAAATTCTGGGCCAGGTGACACTGTGTCTGGGGGTGAATGTGAGAAAGGCACAGAGTGCATGTGTGGTGAGGTGGTAGCACAGGTGACACTGTCACTGTGAATAACAGAGTGAGGCTGTGATCAGGGCAGGATCTATGAGGGGGAAGGGCAAGAAATTAGCGTGGACACTAGGGAAAGGGGGCATATAGGAAGTGGGAGTCTTGCCCCAAAGCCTAATTAGACATAATTAGACCCTAGTCTAAAAGGGAAGACAGCACCAACCCATTCAGAGGCTCCTGGTCTGTGGCTGAGATCCTGAACAGGGTTCAGGGGCTGTAACTAGGCAGTGCTGAAAAGAGGACTCCTCTTACCTCGAAGCTAAATTTCCTTTCCTTGCTACGAAGCAAAAGTCTGGAGAAAGTAGGGGAGGTCTAGAGGTTGACTCCTCTCCCCCACATCCCCCAAAGGTGAGGCTTACAAAGAGAAGTCCAAAAATGTTTTGGACTCTGAACTTGTAGGAGTGGAAAATCTAGTAGACAATCAATCACTTATTAAGCTCTCAGTAAAAGTGTCAGGAACTGTGCCCATTGCTAGGAATACAAATACAAGCAGAAAGAATAGCCCCTGCCCTCAGGGAGCTTACGTTCTAATTGGCAGAAGATTACATAAAAAGGAAGCTGCAAAGGGGGTAAGGAGGTTGGGGGAAGGGGGCCTCTTGGTGGAGAGAGTCTAGTAAGTCCAGAATGAAGCCTAGAGTGGAATGAGCTTGGCCTGGCTTCTCCTTAGAATGAAGATTCTAGAAGGAACCAGCCAGTCCAAGGAAGAGGCTGCAGGGCAGAGGAGGGTACTTCAGTGTGAAAAGTCCAGGCTGGAGGGATCTTCCAGGGTGAAGAGATCTCTGTGTCATGGTAGAGAAAGTCATAGTCGGAAGAGACTTGGTTTTGAATCCCTTCCCTCACTTGCTACCTGCATGCCCTTGGACAATTCCTCTCTCCCATTTTCAGTTTTCTCCTTTGTGAAAGGAGGGATTGAGCTGCAATGGTTCCAGCTCTGTTCTTCTATGTCCACAACTCCCTCCTAGCTCTAATGTGCTATGTTCTAGGTCTGTCTCCCACCTCTGACATCCTGGGCTCCTTTCTAAATCTTTCTTGTATAATCACTATTCTTTTAATACAGCAATTTATTTTTTGGAGGCAATTGGGCTTGAGTGAAACTTACCCAGGGTCACATAGCTAGTAAAGTGTCTGAGGCTGGATTTGAACTCAGGTCCTCCAGATTGCAGGGCTGGTGCTCTATCCACTGCACCACCTAGCTGCCCTTTAGTGTTTTAAAATGGATAAAGCACACAATAACTGATTCTTTGAGGATAATAAATGTTACATGCAGTATTAGTTTCATTTTACAGAGGGAGAAACAAAGGCTTTGAGAGGTTATGTGACTTGTCCATGGTCACATAGTTTGCCAGTCAGTATTAGATGTGGGAGTTGAACTCAGGTGGTCCTAACTCCACATCCAGCACACTCTGACTTGTGTTTGGTGGGTCTAAGTTTCTATTTCTAGGCTCCCAAGGGCTGACATTTGGCTGGAGGCTGGAGAATATGGCGTGGAGGCTGATAGGGAAGCTGGGTAGGCCACAGAAGGGTGGGACACGATCATCAATTGTTCCTCCTTCTTCAGGCTCCCATCAGGGTCAGGTGGCCGCATTCCCTGAGCTTGCTTTCTTGGGGGCTGATCAAAATAACTGGGAGGTCCCAGGGGATTGAGGCTAGGTTATTTTTGACCTGGGTAGAAACACAGAAATAACTCCCTGAGTCCGGGAGAGCAAAGGGACCTCCTCTTCTCCCAGCCAGGGACGGGCATCAGCTTTGATGGCTCCTTTCCCAGCTACCCAAGCACAGGCCAAGTCTTCTTGGGAACATTGGCCCCTCAGGATATTATCTGAGGAGGGGAGAGGGCGCCAGACTCTCTTTGAAGAGGGGGGATGGGGATTCTAGTCAATTCAAAGAGTCCTAGGGGAGATGGAGAAAGGGAATTGAAAGAGACCCTTAAGAGACTGAGAAAAATCTAGTGGAGGGGAATAGAGACTGGCTTCCTGGACTGCTAGGAACCAGCTGTTCAAGACAGAGGTCCAGATTTATGTCTGGCAGGACTTACTCTTCATCAAACTCCTCTCTCTAGGGTCTGAGGATCCCCATGGCAAGCAGTACAATCAGCTTCCCTCCCTGGTTTATCCCAGCCTGAGGCTAGGTCCCTCCAGTGTGTTGCCTGGATTGGATACTAGGGAGACTTTAGTGTCACACGTTTAGATTGGACTGACATTTATTAAGCACCTACTGTATACAGAGCCCCAGCTAAGAGACGCGTCTCCTGTCATCTTGGACCTCTCTGACTAGTAGGGGGAAAAGGCACCAGCATTGTAACAAGAATATGACGTGAGAAGGTGTTAGAACCAGAAAGAAACACAGGATAGCTTTGAAAGCTACAAGTTGACTTTATTCTATGCTTTAAAAGAAAAGTGAGCTGCACATAATAGATACCAGACATTTCATGTACAATCCTCTTCTACCATTTTATTTGGGGTTTAAGATCAGAATTTTTAAAAATGGAAGAAAAAAAAGGACATTAATTAGAAAGAGACAAATCAGTTGCCAGGTGAGGTTGGAGGAAGAAGGCCATCCCTGAAGAAAGAATCCAGGCTATCTTTCTGGAGGAGATGGCAGCTGAGGAGGCTGAAGAGGAATAGAGAAGAGAAGGATGGAGGGAAATTACAGGCATAGGAGACAATGAGCAAAGCCCTGTCCCTGGGGCTGCCTAACTCAGACTCCCTGGCAACATCACCTCCCCACCTTCCCACCCCCTCCCCAAGGCATGACAGTCCCCAAGGATCTAAACAGCCTAAGAATTCGACAGTCTCTCCCTGGCCCCCCTGCCTGCACAGGACTTTGGTTGCTAAGATCTGCTGCTCTTCTCTCCCTAGCCCTCCCTGGCTCTCTGCTATGTTCTCCTTGTTTTACCTGCTGCCCAGGTCAGACCAGCAACCCAAGTGTGGCCTTAGAAATTCAAACCCTGTAAACAAAGTTTGATATCCAGACAAGATCAACAGTCCTGTCCCTCAGAGAGTCAGGTACTGAGATTCTCTGAGAGGAGGCAGAGAGCTGGGAGAGAGAGAGCAGAGAGCTCTCAGGAAGTCTGGTCTGGAGGCCAGGGTGCCTGGCCTCAGGAAGCTCAGGTCTGTCAAGTAAGAGACTTTTTCCTTTGCAAGGGTCATTTGCCTCCTTTTCTCCACAGTGCCTTAGCAATCTCTGCCCCTCCAAGTACTGCCTATCCTGCAAGACTCAGCTCAGGTGGAGAAAGCTGAAAGATTTCCTCCTCCTTCCGCCCCCGCCAATCTGGGATCAGGAGACCTGGTTTCCATTGAGAGGATAGAGTGATG